AAAAAAATATTTGAAGAAATTGCCAGAGTACTTTTGGAATAGACAGAGATTGGAAACAATGTTGTATCAAATACAACAATTTAAAATACGAATATAGAGTTTTGTTAAAGAAAAATGGCAACCCTATAAGAAAAGTGATATTTTATGAAGAAGTAACTGCATCCTAAGACAACCTCTCAGAACTGCTAGAGGAAAGCATAGTAACCTTGGAATTGATATTTTGAACAAAAAGTCTATCAGCCCTAACTGGTTTGGCTCAGTGGATAAGAGCATTGACCTTCGGACTGAAAGGTCCCAGGTTTGATTCTGGTCAAGGACATGTACCTTGGTTGCGGGCACATCCCCAGTAGGAGGTGTGCAGCAGGCAGCTAATCGATGTTTCTAACTCTCTATCCCTCTCCCTTCCTTTATAAAAAAAGCAATAAAATATATTTTTAAAAATAGTCTATCACCTCTCCTCTGCATTTTAACACGTAGGTCTTTAAAAATAAAATCCTAACACTATTGTAGGTTCAAATGATCCAAAAAGTATAAAATACACACCTAATTTAAGTGGAGTCAATTTCTTTCCAAATCTTGTATCAAAATTCTTGTAATTCTTAAACTCATTATTTCTGTTCAATTGTTTAAATGTTCTTACTCTGATGTACTTAAATGGAGACTATATAGTTCTTTTCCTGTATTCTTTTGCTTATTTTAGGAATTATTTGAAGGTCATAACAAAAAATGAGACTTTTCCACATCAAGAGAAAGGCACACAAAGAGGGTAAGGGCCTCAGAAATGCCAATTTTTTCCACATTGAGAAAAAGTTGCTTTTTCCCTGATAACAGAGACGTTTAATCCTGCCCTTGGCAAATTAGACTCAATACATTGTTTATGAACTGTAGGAGCAAAAACTGCTGAAAAATTACTTTCTTCATAGCTTATTAAGAGTGAAAGTAACGCCGAAACCAGTTTGGCTCAGTGGTAGAGCGACGGTCTGCGGACTGAAGGGTCCCAGATTCGATTCTGGTCAAGGGCATGTACATTGGTTGCAGGCACATCTCTGGTAGGGGGTGTGCAGGAGGCAGCTGGTTGATGTTTCTCTCTCATCGACCTTTCTAGCTCTCTAGCTCTCTCACTTTCTCTCTGTAAAAAATCAATAATATATTTTTTTTAAAAAAAGTGAAAGTAACAAATGGAAGCTTTCCCATAGTTAGAAAATTCTGCATTATAAATTTATCATTAACCTTTAAATTATGCTTTACAGTGACTGCTATAAGAAAACTTGGATGTTAAAGGGAAAAAACACCCCAACAAACTAACAAATTCTGAATTTTGGTTTTCTCCAAAGGTAATAATGGGTGTAACATTTTAGTAATTCTACAACTAAGCTAAACTAATTATGTGAGGTGGAATTTAAAACTGACCCATTAAAGATATCAGAAAAGGCAAATAAATTTGGTGTAACATATTCAGTTTACATTATTTCTAATGGTAATTAATGATTTGGTTTTCAAAAAAATCACTTTCCAACAGCATCCTGGAAAAAATTTAAGCTTTAGAGCTGAGGTTCCACTGTACTTCTAGATAAACCAATCTGGATTTAACTATCCAGCACATAACTGTCCAGTTTTGATAATCCATTTCATTTTAAAAAAATATTTTTTATTGATTTTCAGAGAGGAAGGGAAATAGAAGCATCAATGATGAGAGAATCGTTTTTCAGCTGCCTCCTGCATGCCCCATCCTGGGGATCCAGACAGAAACCAAGGGGAACCATGACCTCCTTCCTGGTTGAATAGGCTGATGCTCAACCACTGAGCCACACCTGCCTGGCAATCCATTTAATTTTATATGAAATAAATAATATTATAACTTTCATTTATTCTGTTATCCTGAGACTAAATGTTTTAGGTCAGATTATGCAGACAAAAACAGAACCAAAACCAATGCAAAAGTGATAAAAAAAAAAAAATACCACCTTCTAGGTTTGTTTTGGGTAATGTATAAAGGAGAAATTCCTTCATCAAATTCCTTCGATTCCATTCAAGGGCATGTACCTTGGTTGCAGACACATCCCAAGTGGGGGATGTGCAGGAGACAGCTGATCGATGCTTCTCTCTCATCAGTGTTTCTAACTATCCCTCTTCCTTCCTCCATAAAAAATCAATAAAATATATATATATTTTTTAAAAGGAAAACAATGAAATTTTGTTAAGTTGAGGAAGTAGGCAATAGACCATCACTAACCATTGTACACTGTATATATCTAACCATTATATATTCATTATGCTATACTAACCTATCTAAGCTTATAGCTTTGACATTCCTTAACTCAATGCCATTTTAGTTCTTAATCTTTACCCCCGCCACCTACAATTTAGGGTAATTAAAGATTTTTATCTTCTAAACCTAAGGGAAGATATCTTCCAATCCCTTAAATCAAGCATATCAAGTTCAAAGGCAAACATGGGCCAAATAAATAAGGTTTAAGTTTATGTGGGCCGCAAAAAAATAAAAAATAAAAGCTTAAATTTTCATAGAAATGTAGGTTTATTTCAATAGAGACATGCTGAATACAAAGGGCTGAAATAAATGGGTAATTGTTAACATAAAATAGAACATTTTAATAAAAAAATGTTCTTGAAAATTAACTTACCAGACACCGAATAACTGCAAAAATTAATAAGCGTAACATAAATAAACCTATCTTTCTTATTCTCCTAAAGCGAAATATTTCCTGTTGGGCACAGCAATCAAGTCAGTACAAGACTAATAACGAGGCAATCAGCTGCTAAAATACTCGCTGCTAGTATTAGAGAGAAAAAGTGCACCTGCCCCTAAGGTGAGTAATGGAAATGAATGTGACACCATTACTTATTCATTAGCGAATGTTGTCGTTAGTTATTAATAATTATGTATAACAGGATACTGTAAAAATTAAGTTACAAAATTCTTATTAAAATATTTCTTACATACTGTTATATTGCTGGACTGCAAAAATATTTGTGATGGGGGCTGCATGGGAGATGGACATGCTTGTCTTAAATTCCCGTAAAGCAAGGGTAGGGAACCATTTGTCTGCCATGGAATATTAATAACATCATTCACAGTCTTACAATTGGCAAAAATTAGCGTCATTCAAGTTAAAATATGCTTTTCAATTTATCCCAGATTCTAAGTGACTCTTAGTAAACAAGGAATGCAAGATGTGAAACTCAAAGTGAAATATGTGGGACCCGGAGAAGAGGTAAAAGTACTTCTGAATAAGCTTGTTGAGGAAAAGCTAATCATTTGAAATGCCTTTATACATGTTGCACCCATATGGCTGACAAGCGTTATCGCCAAGATCCTTAGCTGTTCCAGTAGTTGCTCCGATGGCATTACCTTATGCAAACTTTGGAACACTTTCAGTGATGATGTCAAACCTGGGTTTATATCTCTTAACCCAACAGAATTGCTTATATCAACGAACAGGTCAGAGTGATAGTTAGATTTAGTATAAAGATCATGGGAGCAAAATGACTCCACTCAAAGGGATCTACCAAATTTTTCAAAATCAGCGTGTATCCTGTCACACAGGAACTACTCCACTCCCCCTTTGTTAGGAGAAGGCAGTAGTTACTACTCTTTGGCATCTTCTTACTCCTGATCTTTTCATCCCTTATCTGAAACGTCGTCTAATGACTCTTTTGTACAGGGACTATTCCCGCTAATTGGCTTATTTTCAGTTAATCTATGTGAAATCTACATTCCTTTTGAACACCAACAAAGTCCCGTTTTCCCCGGGTCCCTACGTTCCCAGGGCTATGACACATGCACATCAACAACTGGCTCCAAAGCTCTGCCCTTGCAAACAAAAGCTGGCGGTGGTTGGAGGCTCCGCGCGCGAACCCCTTAAGGTGTCTGTAGGTCCTGGACTAGCAGCCACCCCACACACGAGCCTTATCACAAGTGCAGCTAGCTCCAGGCTCTGAGAAATTAAAACGGGCACACACAGGAGGGAGGCGAGCGATGCTGACGATCATGAAGGGTTGGGGGTGGGGAAAGAGACTAAAGTCCTAGGTAACCTCGTGGATGCCACAGGCATTGGTTCAGGCTAGAGAGGTCCGGCATCCGGGAGCTCAGGAGCACGCAGAGGGCAGCCTGGGCTGGTGGAGATGGTGGAGAAAGATGCACGCGCCACACCACCCTCCTCACCCTCCCCCAGGGTAGCTCACCGGTGCTGCAGCCCTTGGAGCCCCAGAGTGATCACATGGGGCACATCTAACTGCGTGGGCCACTCTCCCGAGCTGATGCACCCGAACACGCCGCATTCCTCCCGGATCCCCGACTCCTCCAGCTCCATGTCGCCGGGGAACCCACGTGGAGATGGGGAGCCGCCAACGGGTCTAAGCACCAACCAGCTGCCCGCTGGGCCCGGACCGCACAGACGCTCGCGCCCGCAGCTTCCACACGAGAGCCTCAACCCGCGCTACTGCGGCGGCGCGTGCTTTCCAAGCACGGGAGTGAGCGAGACTAGTTTGGCCCCGCCTCCTCCCCGAATCCACCAATGAGCGAGGGTGGAGGGCGGGGCTCCACGGCTTAGAGGAGGGGCCACGGGCTCGGGAGGGGTGGAGCTAGTCCTCCACAGGAGCCCAGCGGAAAGCCAGTTCTCCGGCACGTGGAGATCTCCGTTATGTTCCAGCTTCGAAAGCGGGAGAGATGAGGCTTAAGCGGGGTTAATGTCACTTCTCTCGCAGGGGATGTACCCTTGAACGGCCCTACCCCCGTGCCTTCCCCCGCCGCCGTCACCACTTGGTACACTCCAGCCTCTGAACCGCTCTCGCAGCCGAGAAGGGAGCCGCATCCGCGAGCCCTGGGGAGCGGGGAGGGGCCGCCTTTACGCGCCACTTTCCGCCTCAGGTGGCACCGCGCCGGCGCGGGGCCCGAAGGGGGCGAGGCGGGGGCGGGCGGGGGCGGGGGGCGTCGCTGCGCCTGCGCCTGCGCGGCGGGAATCCTCGCGGAGCGGTGAGCGCTGGCTCCCGGAGTCCCAGTCCGCCCGGGGGGCAGAGGCAGCCGGGGTTCCGGGCAGTGTCCGTGGGCCGCGCCTCCCTTCCTCCCTCACTCGCCCCGTGAGCCTCTCTGTCCACTCCTCCTCCTCCTTCCCCGAGTCCCGCGTCTCTGCCCAGCGCGGCCGCTGCTCGCAGCCCAGCCGGGATCATGGCGACAGCCGAGGGTGAGTAACGGGCCTCGGCCGCCTGGTCTGGGCGCGGACACGTGCGCGCCCGGCGGCCCTGACCCCAGCCTCCCGCTGGCGGAGCCCGAGCGCCCTGTACCCGCCCCCCCCCCCCCTCCGGCCGGCGTGGGGCGCACACGTGGCCCGGGCGCCGCCGCGCGGGGCGGTGTATTTAGTAAATAGAGCGCCCCCGGGCCTCCCCGAACTCTCAGAGTCCTCCCGGACTGCCGCTGGGATTGGGGGTTTGGGGAGGAAGACAGTGAAGGAAAGGGATGATTAGAACGAGAAACGGCCAGCGAGTGGAGAGGTGCCTGGAAATCAATTTTGCAATCAATACGTTGCTGAAAAAACAAACACAGGAACATCTTGTGTTGACTCTTCCAATAGGTGACTCTTCTTGTTAGGTCAATAATGACGACCTAGTTCAGAAAGTTAATCATTGAACCTGCTGGAAAAAAATTGCTATTTTTCTGTCCAGATTTTGAGTGTTTTTTTTTTTTTGTTTTTTTTTAAAGGGTCTTGTGATGCCCTGATGGCTTTGGAGAGCTCTGAAGCCAGCAGGCAAAAAGTTTCCTTTCTTCACCTTTGCATTGATCATATTTACATCATCAGTTTGCTCACACATCCAATTTCTAAATTTATGGTGAACCCAAATCCTTGTATTGTACATTCTCTTCCACACAGAAAAATTGAAATTTAGGTTAAGAATTTTTAGACTAAACAAAAAAGGTTCAGATGATAATAACTCCGTGAATCAAGGTACTAGATCAGAATTTTCCTACCTTGTCTCTAAACTGGTAGAATCTCAAAAATCTTGACTCTCACTTCCTTCCACCTTGCATATTCATGGCAAGTTAATCAATCCTGCCAAAATGTCACTTATGGTTTCTAAAAGGGACTTCCTTGCTCAAAAATGTTCAGTGCAATCCAAGAGCGATTAAAACCCAGTGTGAAATACCCTTTCATTCACATCGGGCGTGCTGCTTCCTTCCCACCTCTTCAAGCTTAACTTTGATTTTTTACCATTGTGATCCTAGGCCTACATTCCAGTAAGGTTAATTCACCCAAGTTCACTGCTCTCTGTTTATTTAGGCTGTATCTTCCAGAACAGGTCTGTCTAGTGAAACCTTATGTAACTTTCTTTACTAGTTGCCATGTTTTAAAAAGTAAAAAGAAACCAGTGGAGTGAATTTTAATGTATTTTATTTAGTCCAATATACCCAAAGTAGTATTTCAATATATAAAGCAATATTAAAATCGTGAGATTTTGCATCCTTTTAAAAAATATATATATTTTGCCAGGACCGGTTTGGCTCAATGGATAGAGCGTCGGCTTGGGGACTGAAGGGTCCCGGGTTCGATTCCGGTCAAGGGCATGTACCTTGGTTGCGGGCATATCCCCAGTAGGGGGTGTGCAAGAGGCAGCTGATCAATGACTCTCTCTCATTGATGTTCCTAACTCTCTATCTCTCTCCCTTCCTCTCTGTATAAAATCAATAAAAAATACATTTTAAATAAATAAATAAATATATATATATATATATATTTTATTGATTATTCACAGAGAGGAAGAGAGAGGGACAGAGAGTTAGAAACATTGATGAGAGAGAAACATCGATCAGCTGCCTCCTGCACACCCCCTACTGGGAATGTGCCTGCAACCAGGGTACTTGCCCTTGACCGGAATCGAACCTGGGACCCTTCAGTCCACAGGCCGATGCTCTATCCACTGAGCCAAACCTGTTTCGGCTTGCATCCTTTTTTTTTTTATATTGAAATCCATTGTGTATTTTTATACTTGATTTACATCTCAGTTCTGAGTAGCCACATTTCAAGTATTTCATAGCCACATGTGGCTAGTGTCTACCTTATCGGTCATCAGACTCCTAGGTATTCTTACTGCTTCTCTGTGCAAGTTCTATACTTTGCAAGACTTACCGGTAAGTTTCATGAAGTAGTCTCAATCCTCATTAGTCTTTTCTGAATACATCCACTAATTTGTAGCATGTTCCCCATGATTAAGATATTTCTACCCATAATTGAAATTCCTACCCTATTTAATGACTAGGTTAAAAAGTATTGATTCAACTGAATTGAGGAGGGGCAGTAGGTACAAACTTTGTTTTGCCTTTTATCTAACCTAGGCAGCATCTTGACTTTTTCTTGTCTCTGTTATCTCCTAAAGTGAATCAATTGTTCTTAAAATTTTTACCTTTCAGCCCACCTGGCGTGGCTCAGTGGTTGAGCATTGACCTACAAACCAGGAGGTCACACTTCGGTTCCCCATCGGGGGCACATGCCTGGGTTGCTTGCTCTATCCTCAGTGTGGGGCAGGCAGGAGGCAGCCCCTGTCAGTGATTCTCTCTCACCATCGATGTTTCTCTCTTCCTCCTCTTCTTTCCACTCTGAAATCAATAAAAATATATTAAAATTTTTTTTTTTTACTGTTTAAATATCTCGAGTCTTTTTCCTAGACCAGGACGTTTCTTGCTTGTATTGCTGCAACAATATACTCACTATTCTCTCCCTCTCTCTCCCCTTCTTCATTTTATTTTTCATACAGCAGCCATAATATTCTTTCTAGAGAAAGGGAGTTACATTTTATTATGCTCAGGCCCAGAGAAAAATGTGTCTTTCAAATTCTGGGGCCCCTAACATGGAGGAAACCTTTTCTATTTATACTTTTTCTAGCTTTTTTGTCTCCCAATTTGGAATGAGACTTCCCAGCCTTTTGGAGAAAGAAGGCCTATGTGCTGGGAAGGGGCCATGAGACGGTATCTCAAGGCCTGGCCTGGTGTCAGCACTGACAACTCCGATTGGGCAAAGTTTATGGCCTCTCTGGAATGGGAGTAATCTTATTTTTCTTATTATTTAAGCAAGCAAGAGTTTACAGAAGCCAAAATAGCAGGGTTAAAGTTTCAAACAGCAGTTTTTATATGAGATGGATGCTTCAGAAGGGCCTTTTAACCCTTGTCCATGAATCAGTACATTATGATAGGAGATGGGGATTCATGCTCTAAATTAGGTCCCCTGCAGCAGTACGCCTCTTTAGTTAAACTAAACCGTAATTGCTTTGTTCAGTGGTTCCCTCCACTAGCTGCAGTTGGCCTATTTCCCCAATTCCTGTGGAGGGCTTATCTCCTGCCATTTGTTTCTGCCCTTAGCTGCCACCTCCCTCCCTGCCCTGCAGCAATGTACACACAAAGTGCTCCAGACGTCTGGCTCTGGCGTTCTGCATTCATCCTTTCACCACATAGTCTTCCTTTCACCACCACTTTCCTCTTCTGGTTAAATTTTGATCATTCCTCAGATCTCAGCCTAAATCCTCACGTTGTTCTCTGAGGTCTAGACTAGGTTAGGTGGCTCCGGATTCAGCTTCCCTTAGGTCACTTGACAGCATGAACTTCTAGTATATCTCTACTACCTGGCACATGGACATTAAAAAATGCTGATACTGAGAAAGTGATTTCTCCCCTTGGAAATCTTAAGTCCTTGAATTTCTGTTATCTCTGATCGTCATCTAGGTCTTGCAACCTGAATCAACATTGGGTTCTCTTTGTTAGTTTCATGGTTGTTAATCCTCACCAGAAGATATTTTTTCCATTGGCTTTTAAACTTATTGGAAGGGAGAGGGAGAGACGGAAACTTTGATGAGCGGGGGATCGAGCCTGCAACAGGTGCATGCCCTTGACCGGAATCAAACTGGGACCTTTCAGTTTGCAGGCCAGCAGTCTGCCCACTGAGCCAAACTGGCTAGGGCAAAATTGGGTTCTCTTGTCTTACTTTCTCAAAGTTTTCTGCAACTGTTAAGAGAAAGGGTTAATTAAGGGTGGGAGATTGAGAAGCAGGATTGAAAAAAAGAGAAAGGTGCTTCCAAGTGGGCTGTTGGTGGAGGTGCCTTCCCTTGCACATTAACTTGAAATCGGGAACCAATTTGGCTGAACTTGCTTATCTCGCCTGCCATGGAAAGCAGAAGTCAGGAAAAATAAAGCATTCCCTCTTCCCCAACCCTGGGCCCTGCAAGCTAGGTTAGTTAGTGTATATATATATATGCAAATACTAGTATGTTTACATTAATTTTAATGAATCTTAATTCTACTTCAGTTCTGCTCTGAGAGTCAGGTTGATAGTGGAAAGACTACAGAATTTGATAGAAGATTCAGAATTTTGTCTGGCTCTGTCATTTCCTAATTTGTGACCTTTACCTTTTAATACTTGTTTCCTAATCTCTATAATTATTTACATAATAATTGACAAAATTGTGTGAGTCAAATATGATGATACTTGTGGAAATACTTTAGAGTATATGCAGATAAGTTTATTATTGTTCATTTTTTCATCATGCTAAGTAGTCTTTACTCTTTAGCAAAATTCTTCCTGAAATATGTTTCCATTCTATTTCCACAGTACTGAACATTGGTAAAAAGCTCTATGAGGGTAAAACAAAAGAAGTCTATGAATTGTTAGACAGTCCAGGAAAAGTGCTCCTGCAGTCCAAGGACCAGATTACAGCAGGAAATGCAGCCAGAAAGAATCACCTGGAAGGAAAAGCTGCAATCTCAAATAAAATTACTAGCTGTATTTTTCAGTTGTTACAGGAAGCAGGTAAGTGGCTCTCCCACTAGCCTCCTCCTCCATGTTCTCTCTCACATACACATACTGGTCCTTTTCAGGGAGAAATGACACATTGTATTAACAACATGTTGATAACTAGTTATATAGTTTTTTAGTTATGATAGGAAGCAGGTAAGTGGCTTCCCCCACAACTTCCCTTCATCGGGGAGGTATACACACAGCACACTCTAATCTCTTTCATGAGTAGGTGACACTATTTGTATTAACATTTTGTTTGGAGATGCCTCACAAGTAAGCTTAGTAAAATCAAACCAGGATCTCGGATTTCACTGAAACATCTTTCTTGGTTTGGAATTAGTAAGTAGTAGTAGTATTTAGTTAAGAAGAATCTTCCCTGCAACTTCTAAGACACCTTCCTAAGAGAGACTTACCTATGAAGGACCTTAAGGAATGTGCCTATGAAGGAAGCAAATTCTGGTGTTAGGCAGCTCTAATTGATGAGTTGAAATTTAGTCCCTGTAATTCTGTGTTCCATCCTTGGAGATAATACAGAATTTAAAATTTCTCTTCCACTTGAAAGTTCTGAAAAGTGTTTGAAGACTAACCACATTTCATCCTGCTATTCCCCCCAAGTGAGAGATTTGGACTAGATCAAAGATCTTCAGGATTATCACCTTCTCCAAAACTGAAGGTTTTCTGATAGAGAAGTCTATTAGAAAGATAAAAACAAGATCAGAACATCCTGTGAAGTGAAGGAAGGAGAATTAGGATAATGTATTTTTCTGCAGGGAGTCACTCAACAGCTGATTGTTCTGTAGTGTATGAAATTTTAACCTGTAAAAGATTTGCATTCTTTCCCTTTAGAGTCTCATTGTCTTAGATTATTTAACCTTTGAAGCCTTGGTTCCTTACTATAAAATAAAAGCTTTGTTCTTTATCTCAGTTATAATTTTATAATTTAATAACTTTGTTTCCTTTTATTTGTACTTATCCCAGTTTCCCTTTCATTACTAATGCTTCCAGTAAGCATTAGTCTTTCTTAAATCAAAAGGGGAATATAATATGTTTGTTGCCAGTCAAGGTAAACATGCCTGCCTTATACAAAATAATGTAATTTATGCAGCCTTGTCAAATTCCGTGCCTGCCCCACCCATGACAAGCACTGGCCCAGAAGGCTGCCACAGAAACACTGTGGCTCATGGGCCCTGATCCCCTCTCCTGGGCTTCAGGGATAAATTTGGCTACAGACATCAAGGAAAACAAAAAACAAAATATGCAATTTAAGTTAAATACATCTGTTAGAAAAATAAGTAAATAAATAAATAAATACATGTCAGTACAGAATGGGTTCTAGATAGTTTTGTCTCTGTCTGAAGTACCATTTCACTGTTTGTTAATATTCACCCAAGGATACTTTTTCCACTGATTTTTAGAGAGGAAGGGAGGGGAAGAAAGAAACATGGATGTAGAAGAGACGCATCTATTGGCTGCTTCCCGCATGCACTCCAACCAGTGCTGGGGATCAAGCCTGCAACCCAGGCATGCACCCCTGCCTGGGAGTCAAACCCAAGTTATTTAACACTGTAAATTGTTAATATTATAAGTTAGTTTCTATGTATCCCCACAGTAATTGCACATAGCTGTGGGAATGTGTGTATTGGTAACTAGTAACCCTAACTAGTACATGCTCTTTAAAGTAATGGAAGGTAAGTACAACCCAAAATTTTATTTGCTTACTTAGTAAGGCACTATCTGTATGTACACTTAATAGGGTTTAAGAACAAGTGAATTAGAGTGATCCAAGTTGTTTAGGGTTCTCCTAGTTCGACTTTGGAAGTCTTGCATCTCATGTAAGTAGGAAAGTTGGTTACCTTAAATGAAGTACTCTTTTTTTTCTTTTCTTTTTTAATATATTTTACTGATTTTTTACAGAGAGGAAGAGACAGGGATAGAAAGTTAGAAACATCGATGAGAGAGAATCATCAATAGGCTGCCTCTTGCACCCCCCTACTGGGGATATGCCTGCAACCAAGGTATCATACATGTCCTTGACCGGAATCGAACCCAGGACCCTTCAGTCCGCAGAGCGACACTCTACCACTGAGCCAAACCGGTTTCGGCAAATGAAGTACTCTTAACAATTCTCTTTAAACTATTGTGTTTGACACATTTAACATAACTGAAACTTACCGTATTTTTCGGACCATAAGACGCACCGGCCCATAAGATGCACCAGTTTTTAGAGAAGGGAAATGAAGAAAAAAAGATTCTGAAACAAATAGTGTCCTAAAATATTTTATGTGCATTAAAACCCAATATCACAGTCATAAACACATGTAGTCAACCCTGTAAAGTAAACAGCAGCATTTAGAACCATTTTAGAGCCAGGCAAGCACACAGAGACCACACAGAGCCGGGCAAGTAAAAAAACTTTTTTTTTAAAGTATATGTGTAGGCTATATTTGGACCATAAGACGCAGGGACTTTTTCCCCCCACTTCTGGGGGAAAAAAGGTGTGTCTTATGGTCCGAAAAATACGGTACTGGTTCACAGGAAATGTTGAAAGGTATTTTCCAAGCTTTATATGTTGTAAAATTAAAGAAAACCCAGGTTTTTTAAAATTCTTGAATAAATTGGTTTTTGGACAGATTAAGAGTTCTGTTAAACTTTATGTAATTTTTATGTGCTAATCCTATGAGGTAATATGCAAATGACCGTTATGCCATGATGCATAACAGCTGATCAGCAGGAGGGCTGGGGCAGTGAGCTACAAGCCCAGTGGCCAGCTGAGGCAAGTGGCAGTGAGCTACAAGTGCATGAATTTGTGCACAGGGCCACCAGTAGTTGAATAAATGCTATGTATAAGTAATACTGTTTTTCCTTGGAAATTATATTACGTGCTGTACCTAAGTTACAAGATTTGTCCATTTGGTCTCAGTGTTTAAAAATCAAAATTTAACCTTTAAGTTTCAGCTCTTCCACTGAAATGCACTGAAATGACATTTCGGTGTGAGAGTAATGATATGATTAACAATCCTACAAACCACGGATGGGAAGCTGGGCAGCCTTCCCATGGATGGCCCCAGGAATATATGGGCTGTTTAGCTGTCATACATGGCCATTGTAATTCAGAGTATGAAGTAACATATTTACATTTTCTTAGTAATCTTGATGGCTTTGAATTTTGTAGACAACAGACAAATAGGGGAAGGTCTTTTTCTCATCGTTTAATGTAGGGGTGTCGAACTCAATCAGAGAAGGGGCCAAAATCTAAAATCCAGCCTAAATCGCAGGCCGAATGGTTTACTGAACAGTCATAAACTGTCATTGTGATGGAAACGCAGCAGAGTGCAGTGATGACAGCGCGGTGCGGGCCACATTGCAAGGCCTGGCGGGACGGATTTGGCCCGCGGGCCTTGTGTTTGACACGTGGTTTAATGGTTAGCATGTGTATTAAAAGGGATCATATCATTTAATTGGATCAGGTTTTTTAGAAGCTTTTTGTTTTTTGTTTTTTCCTGTACAGGTTATTACCATAAGTTGATTCTGTGCTTTTGATTCCCTTAGATGTGTTTATGTCGCAGAGTGGGGGGTGGGAGAAGTTTCTCCTGGTAAAAGTATCTTGTTTATGTTTAAGCAATAGATTTGGACGAATGAGCAAATATGGCTAATGATTAACAGGTCTGAAAAAAAAGAGCTCTTGAAGCCAGGCAGTGAGGCACATAGTAGTTAATCGCCTTGACTTAAGGATTGATGTCAATCACCTGTCCATGAGCCCAGTAATTTTCTGTTTATGCAGCATACCACAATTTATTTACCCCTTCCCATTGAATTTTACTGGTCAAATCCAGAGGAGATGCAGAGAAATTAGCGTAGGTTTTGAAACTGGACACTGCACTTCCAAGTCCAGGCACCATTACTCACTGGCAGCATACCCTAGAGTTACCACTTCATTTATTGAGTCTCTGCTGCTTTCCCTGTAAAATGTAAATTAATAATACCTACCTCAAAAATTTTATGTTTGGTTAAATAAGGTAAGGCATAAAACACTCAGAACAGTGCAGAGCTTTCATAAATGTAGATTCCTTTCATGTATGGATACATGCATATAATCAAAGATCTCCAATCCTTTCCTAAGAAAACTTTTGTTTTAGGATTAGATTGGCAATGGAGGTACTAGCATTGCAGCCTTGAGATGACGATTATTATATTAAGCCCATGTGGGTTCATTCATTTGCATTAATGCTCTGGTATTACTTTGTATTAGGATATAATGACACTTTGGGGACAGGTAGTATAGTATAGTATAGTATAGTATAGTATAGTATAGTATAGTATAGTATAGTAAGTGGGCAGCCCAGAGAGTTCAGTACAGTTTGGAAATCCTGCTATACCTACTACTAGCTGATGTAACTACTGTGCCTCAGTGTGTTTATCTGTTTTGTTGGATAATCATACTATCTACCTTATCAGGTGTTATTAGGGTTAAACAAAAAGAAAATAAATTAGCATTGCCTGACAAATTAGGTGTTGATACTTTTAAAAGTTACTTTGTGCTGAAACCCGTTTGGCTCAGTGGATAGAGCGCCGGTCTGTGGACTGAAGGGTCCCAGGTTTGATTCCGGTCAGGGGCATGTACATTGTTTGCGGGCACATCCCTGGTAGGGGGTGTGCAGGAGGCAGCTGGTCGGTGTTGCTCTCTCATCGATTTTCTAGCTCTCTATCCCTTTCCCTTCTTCTCTGTAAAAAAATGAATAAAATATATTAAAAAAAGAAAAAGTTACTTTGTGACAAAATATACATACATAAAATTTACCATTTAAGCCATGTTTAGATGTTACAGTTCTTGGCTACGCTATGCAACCATCACTACTATCTATTTCTATAACTGTCATTGTCCCAGACAGAAATCCTGACCCATTAAATAGTAGTTCTCTATTCCCCCTTCTCCCTAGCTTCTAATATCCTCTGTCTTAGATTAATCTATGAATTTGCCTATTTTAAGTACCTCATATATGTGGGATAAATTATATTCATTCTTTATTTCACTTAGCATGTTTTCAAGTTTAATGCATGTTGTAGCATGTTTTAGAATTTCATTCATTTTTATGATCGAATGTATATACTACATTTGTCTATACATTCATCTGTTGATGGACACTTGGGCTGTTTCTCCCTTTTAGCTATTAGTAATTACTAGTATGCTATTGTAAATATTGGTGTATGAGTACCTGTGTGAGTACCTGCTTTCAGTTCTTTTCAGTATAGCCTTTTGTAGAAGTGTTATTACATCACTATTATTAGTTTCTCGATAATAGTTTGAGTAAGAGAGAAGGGAAAGGACCAACTATTGATATTTTATTTGTTCTTGGCCAAATTGGCCATTATGTCCATGCTGCTACTTTTTTTTTGTTTTTGTTTTTGTTTGTTTGTTTAAGGATAATTTACTTCTAATATTAAGAGAAAAAAGCTACCCAAAATTTAAGATTATAGCTGATTGTGCTAAGTAGATCGATATTTTACAAGGCCTGTATAATAATGGATGATAGAACATGAGAATCCTGCAACCAAATCTAATGATTTAGTGCCACTTAGTTAAGTTATGTGCCTTGTGCAAAGTCAAGTACTTATTGGCAGATGTTCTCAATAAGTATTTCTTGAGTGAAAAAATTAATGAGTGATAAAGACACTGGAACTCAGATCTTCTGTTCCATTGTGACATGAAAATGAAATAGACCTGAGTATTTTGATAAGTAGTAGTAAGACATGTTAATTTTTCCTATTTTTACTTTTAAAAAAGTACATTTATTTTTGTTAGTGTCATTTAAGGGAAATGTAATTTGATAGGGTTTTGTTTTTTTGTAAGGATAGAGTTTTATTATGCCTCAGATCTACTTTCTAAAATACAATTTTAATGGTGTTTTTGTTTTTGTTATTCATATATAGGTATCAAAACTGCTTTCACCAGAAAATGCGGGGAAACCGCTTTCATTGCACCAAAGTGTGAAATGATTCCAATTGAATGGGTTTGTAGAAGAATAGCAACTGGTTCTTTTCTCAAAAGAAATCCTGGTGTCAAAGAAGGGTACAAGTTTTACCCTCCTAAAGTGGAGATGTTTTTTAAGGTATTTATGCATGTTTTACTATAACATAACTACAAACTTAAAATCAAGTCAAATATTTAAACATTAAATCGATGATGTTTCTCATTGATATTTTTATCTCTATCTCAAAAAAAATTAAAAAAACTTTTTGCATTACAGTTATCACTCCAGAAACATGTCAGTAATGTATACTTCCATTAGCAATCATAATTCAGCTTTGAAAAGGAAACACCTTTGAAAATCTATCTTACTTTCTACCAAAGCAACTAACAAAAATAATATTAGCAGTTAATAAGAAGAAAAGTAGCAATTCAAAAAAATTGTTAATGTACTCTTCAAGAGTTTGAAGTAAAGGCTACTATTAGGTGTCTTTTATATTCTAAGTAGAGGCCTGGTGCACAAAATTCATACAAGGGTTTCAGTATTCACTTTGTCAGTCTAATTAGCACATTAAATTTTTATTATTATAGATACAGAAAAACTATTATCAATGTCTCTTATAAGCAAGAACATACAATAAAGGAAGAAAGAGTCAGTGGTTATGAATTTGTATTGGTTTTCTTTATTGAAACTGCTTTTCTCTTCCCATACTTGTGTTTAGTTTCTAGAGATAGGCCAAATTCTTTCAATACTTTATAATTAGAATGTTACCCAAATACTTTAAGTTTTAAGGTAACTATTGAAAATATACCAACTGAATATATTTTCTGTGAATTAAAGAGTATTTTAAATAAAATTAAATCTTTAGAGGAAACGTTTTAGAGAAATATTTCTGAGGATTCATGCTCAACAAATAAAGGTCTTCAGATTATTATTAGAAAAGTTCAAACATCTTATATTTAACCTAGAGATCCATTGCACAAAAATTAGTTCAAGAGTAGGCCTTCCTTCCTCAACTGCTGGCACCAGCTTCCCTCCAGCACCCAGGACCCAACTTTGTCAGGAATGACGTTTGGAATGGCATCTGGTCTAATTAGCATATTATCCTTTTATTATTATAGATTAATTGTAACCCTGTACTTTATTTTCAGGATGATGCTAATAATGATCCACAGTGGTCTGAGGAACAACTCATTGCTGCAAAATTTTGCTTTGCTGGACTTGGTATAGGCCAGACTGAAGTGGATATCATGAATCACGCTACACAGGCTATTTTTGAAATATTGGAGAAATCCTGGTTGCCCCTGGACTGTACCCTGGTTGATATGAAGGTACAAATAAAATGGAGATTTGAAAGTAAAAAATTACAACTGAGAAATGTCTTTAGTAGTATGGTTTTGAAAAACTTTTCTTCGGTGATCTGCTGTTTCTAGATTGAATTTGGTGTTGATGTCACTACAAAAGAAATTGTTCTTGCTGATGTTATTGATAATGATTCCTGGAGACTCTGGCCATCAGGAGACCGAAGCCAACAGAAAGACAAACAGGTAAGTGATATTTCAGGGTGGTTGTTATTTTTTATTCATTGCAAGATCAGGCTCCGGTAGAGGAGAAAGGAAAAGTGAAAGGAAAGAAAGGCAATTATTATTTACTAGCTGGGGGTGTCCCTCAACCCGGCCTGTACCCTCTCGTAATCTGGGACTGCTCAGGGGATGTCTGACTGCCAGTTTAGGCCTGATGCTGCAGTGATCCCTCTTGCAATCCAGGACCGCTGGCTCCTAACCGTTGGCCTGCCTCATACTCTCTAACTGCCTCTGCCTCAGCCCCCACCACCATGGCTTCATTGGGAAGGACATCCAGAATGACGTCTGGAAGGTTGTTTGGCTGTCCTGTCTAATTAGCATATTATGCTTTTATTATTATAGACTAATGTCCCGGTGCACGAAATTCATACACATTAAAAGGAAATTAATTAGAGGTAATATTTTAGTATTGATATTTGCCCTTTCTCTTTAATAGAAGTGTCAGAAATGAAAGAAAAGTAGTAAATGAATATGAAAATCTCCCTCCTGTCAGAATTTGGGACACTTCATGGGATCCAGAGTCAAGTCCCTGCCCACGCAAGGGTGTGCCTCGAAATCGCGAGACCCATACCCAGCTAGCCCCACCCCCGTCAAGCCTCTCCAGTCAGGGAGTGCAGCCTAAGGTCCCTTGGTGCCATTGCAGATCCTCCAGCCTGGCCCTGGGGTGGGGGGACTCAGCTTTAGGTCCCCTGGCCTGACCTCAGGTCCCCCAACCCCAGTGCGAGGTTCAACGACCATTTGTGTATTAGCTCTTTATTATATAGGATTATGATTTGAACCTTTGTTGTTCATTGCATTTTTAGTCTAATTCAGGAAATGAATTCATAAACATAGATACATTTTCAGATATAGCCTTTGCTAGGCAAACTTCATAATCTGTACCCAAAACTCAGAAACCAAAAATTGCAGATAACAAGAATATTACTAATTAGAATACTTGCAGCCTCAACATTCTGCCTGTATTTTCTAGTCATATCGTGACCTCAAGGAAGTAACTCCTGAAGGGCTCCAGATGGTAAAGAAAAATTTTGAGTGGGTTGCTGAAAGAGTACAGGTAAACCTTTTATTGTAAATCTACACTAGATTGCTTTTTTCTCTAAGAAATTCTTACTTCAAAGAGGAAAACAGCCTTGGCTGGTGTGGCTCAGTTGATTGAAATGTCATCCTGTGCATGGAAAGGTCTCGGGCTTCATTCCTGATGGGGGTGTGCTTGGGAGGCAACTGATTGATGTTTCTCTCATCTTGATATTTCTTTCTCTCCTGCCTCTCTTCCTCTTTTCCTCCTTCCCTTGCTCTTCCCCCCCCCCCCCCCCTTCATCCCTAAGATCAATTAAATAAAGTTTTTTTTTAAAGAGACAGTGCGGTGCTTTTCTTTTCCTGTTGATTTAAAATAACAGAGCATCTTTAGGAAATGCACCAGCTGAACTGTCCTCCTTAGCTGGATCCCTGGATCCCCTGCTATTTAAGCTTCCATTACACTTCTCCCAAATCCAATTGAAACCAAGAATCCTTGTTTCCTCCGGCCCCTGCAAGAGAAGTCTTGCATTTCTTACCAACCTACTCAGAGTTCCATTAGCCTGGGTTCCATGATCAGAGTTCAGAATTAGAGTTCCATGTGACATTAAAATGTCACATTAACAGTTATGGTATTGTGGTAACTGTGATGCCATGGGAATTGAATAGGCTGGGTGGCTATCCAATGGTCATAGCTATCTTTCAGATCATCATTTCTATGGGAATATGCATTTGGATTCCATGTGACTAATAAAAGATTTGTACAACCACCTCTTTATTTTGGCTGATTATGCCTTAAAACCTGCATTAAGCAGAATGTACTGCCCTAATGGGTTTGGCTCAGTGGATAGAGCATTGACCTATGGACTGAATGGGTCCCAGGTTTGATTCCGGCCAAGGGCACAAGCCTGGGTTGCAGGCTGGGTCCCCGGAAGGGGGCATGCAGGAAGCAGCTGATAAATGATTTTCTCTCATCATTGATATTTCTATCTCTTCCTCTTCCTTCCTCTTTGAAATCAATTTAAAAAAAAATTAAAAAACAACAATACCAATGTACTAAGAATCTTAGGATAAAAATTAGAAGTTGAATTTCTATCCCTTGCTTATTATAATAAACAGTTTAGTTAAAAAACAATACTCGCCCTAACCAGTTTAGCTCAGTGGATAGAGCCAGACTCAAGGGTCTCAGGTTTGATTCCAGTCAAGGGCATGTACTTTGTTTGTGGGCACATCCCCAGGAGATGTGCAGGAGGCAGCTGATCGATGTTTCTAATTCTCAGTCCCTCTCTTCCTCTCTGTAAAAACATCAATAAATTATATATATATATATATATATATATATATATATATATATATTTTAAATCATATTCTTTTGGTTTTAATTATGAAGAACTCTTTATAAAGTTTATTTTGAAAAATAAATTCTCACATTTTGTTCTGTTTATCTTAAATTTGGTTTATTAAAAAAGAAAATACTCTGTCCATATGTAATTTTAGTATGAACTGTAGCTCTGTAAATTAACTCATTCCAATATTTATCCATTTTTGTCTTTATCTCCTTTTACATATGCATGGTTTTCTCTTCCAGTTGCTTCTGAAATCAGAAAGTCAGTGCAGGGTCGTAGTATTAATGGGCTCAACTTCTGATCTTGGTCACTGTGAAAAAATCAAGAAGGCTTGTGGAGATTTTGGCATTCCGTGTGAACTTCGGGTAACCTCTGCCCATAAAGGCCCAGATGAAACGCTGAGGATTAAGGCTGAGTACGAAGGTAAACATCCGATAACGAGCATTTCAGGACGTTCTCCAGATTTTGCCAGAGAATTTTATGTTTAGGCTAGTAATGCTTATAAAAGAGTGGATTAAAGAGAATGATTTGACAATTCAAGCAGGGAAGAAGATAAAGACTACAATTAGTCTTTTTTAAGAAAACATATATTTTATTGATTTTTCGGAGAGAGAGGAAGGGAGAGGGATAGAATAATAGAAATATCCATGATGAGAGAGGAACATCATTGATTGTCTGCCTCCTGCATACCCTCGGCAGGGAATTGAGTGTGCAACCTGGGCATGTGCTATGACTGGGAATTGAATCAGGGGCCTCTTGTTTCCTTACTCGACACTGAACCACTGAGCAACACAGGCCAGGCTGTCTTTACCTAGTAAGAAGCCCCTCAAACACTATTTCTTAAATGCTCCAACAGAAAATTATAGAAAACCTAACATTAAAGCAGCAGATCCTCTCAAGTATCTTTAATGACCAGGTTTTCCTTAGAGGCAAATGTGAAATTAAGTAGTAATTTCAAAACAGTATATAAAAGAAATCTTTTGATGAAATAGCAGTGAACTAAAATGTGATGGAGCCCTAGAGATACAACCCAATGTTTTTCAACTGAAAAAAAATGTTTATGAATATTCTTTTCAAAGGTCATTGCTTCAGGAGTTAAATCAAAGAATGAAATGTTTTAGGGATATGTTAGAAAATAGATTGAAGGGTTTTAAATATTTGAGTACTATACTTAAGTTCCTTTCATCTCTTTTAAACCTGAAGCTCTAGCCTCTGTTACTCTTTGGAAGGACAGGTGTTCTGGTGGTGGTGTTCTGTTTCCTTAATCTAAGCGGCAATAATAGAAGTGGCTTTGAGCCATTCCCTTTAAATGTTGGTACCTGCTCCTCTCCTTTAACCTATAAATCTCAAAATGGCCAAACCTATTCTTGCTACTTCACTGCTTGATGTATAAGTGGTAGAGTGAACGTTATATTTAGAATATATAAATATGTAATGTTGTATTTATGCTTTTGCTAGAAACTGATGAACTGAAGGAGTTAAGACACATGAGCTCTTATTTTCAACCTATCTTTAAATATCTTTTAGCATAATAATAAACTTGTGATTTCCCTAGGGGATGGCATTCCTACAGTCTTTGTGGCAGTGGCAGGCAGAAGCAATGGTTTAGGACCAGTGATGTCTGGTAACACTGCATACCCAGTTATCAGCTGTCCTCCCCTCACTGCAGACTGGGGCGCGCAGGATGTGTGGTCTTCTCTTCGACTACCCAGTGGTAAGATTCATTGAATTTTAAAAAATTCTTTATTAAAAAGTTTAAACATGCACAATAGTATAGAGAATCCTAATATATAAAAACCCAGAGTCTGTAACATGCAAAACAACCAAAGGCTCGGCCGACTGGAAGTCAGTGCTGGGTGGTGACCCACTTCAGGGTCTCCAATCCAGCACCGACTGCTGAGGGGCTGCAGATCAGGCCCAAAGAGAGGCCTGGACAGAGAAGTAGGGTCTGATTCGTAGACTCCATGGCAGCATTTTCCTTTCTCTTTCGCTCTGAGCGTGGTCAGCAGCCATGCCTCTCTCTAGGGTAGGGGTGTCGAACTCAATCAGAGAAGGGGCCAAAATCTAAAATCCAGCCTAAATCGCGGGCCGAATGGTTTACTGAACAGTCATAAACTGTCACTGTGATGGAAATGCAGCGGAGTGCAGTGATGACAGCGCAGTGCGGGCCACATTGCAAGGCCTGGCGGGACGGATTTGGCCCACGGGCCTTGTGTTTGACACATGTGCTCTAGGGCCTCCACTGGGGCTGCTGATCAGCCTCACCTCTCTAATCAGGCCCAGAGATGATATGCCCGGAGATGCTGACTGGCATAGAAACCAGCTAATCAGAACAAATTTGGATGAAGTGTGAAGTGTCGATGGCTGCCCAGGTCACGACCCATAGGTTGAGAACTGCTAGCAGGGTCACCTAGACCATCAGAAAACAGATATTTACATTACGATTCATAACAGTAGCAAAATTAGTTATGAAAATAATTTTATGGTTGGGGGTCACCACAACATGAGGAAATGTATTAAAGGGTTGTGGCATTAGAAAGGTTGAGAACCACTGAAGTACAGAAATACTTGAGATAACAATATTTTTTATTATCTACTAGAGGCCCAGTGCACAAAATTTATGCATGGGGGGGGGCGTGGCTCAGCCAAGCCTGCACCCTCTCCAATCTGGGAGCCCTCAGGGGATGTCCTATTGATGGCTTAAGCCCGAGCAGGCCTAAGCCACAATCTGGCCTCCCTCTGCAGGAGGTGACTGGGCTGGTTAGGGGAAGGCGCCGCCCCCATTACCCTGGTGCTGCTGCCATTCCCGGCTGCCATAGCCACCAAGGTGTTTTCATCAACACAGACTCCAGTCCCTTCACCACAAAAAAATGAGAATTTTAGGCATTTTCAAGATGTCTTTTTCATAGGATATGACATTTCTTTCTTTTTTTTTTAAATTTTTTTTCTAATCAGCGGTCAGAAAAGGTGTTTCCCTGCAGGACTGTGGGAATGCTGAGGCTGGCAGACCCTGCTGTCTGTCTGCAGTCAGTGGCACCTGGCAGCCAGGCCCTTCTGTCTGTCTGCAGGCTCCAGCACCTGGCAGCCAGGCCCTGCTGTCTGTCTGTGGGCCTGCACGCTGGCTTGCTTGCCCAGGCGCCAGGCAGCCAGGCCCTCCTCTCTGTGCCTGCCTCACCCTGCCCACCAGGCCACCAGCCTTGCTGTGATAGGAGGCTGTGGGCTGCGGAGACAGGACACAAGTGTCCATGCACTTCCTGGTGACCGGTCGTCTGTCTGGTCGTGACGGCCCTAAGCAATTATTAGTTTACATGTGGTTTTTTTTTTTTGTTCTTTTTTTTTTTAGTTTACATGGTTAACAGGACTTCTCTGAGTATAAAATAGTTTGCTTAAGTAGTATTTTCAGTGTTAATTGACAGCTCAATTTTCTGTCTTTCCTTTCTGAACCAATAGGTCTTGGCTGTTCAACCATACTTTCCCCAGAAGGATCAGCTCAGTTTGCTGCTCAGATACTTGGATTAAACAACCATTTGGTGTGGGCCAAACTGCGAGCAAATATATTGAATACCTGGATTTCCTTGAAGCAGGCTGACAAGAAAATACGAGAGGGCCATTTATAAGAAAAGAACATAATAGCATTTTTTTTTAGGAGAAAAACTATAATTTTCTAATTTAGCTGTAGAAAAAAGTCAATCAAGGTGAAAAGATTTTAAATCAGAGAAAACAAAACTTATTAGTGAATAATTGCTCCTCTAAATTCATGGATTAGTAGAATATATGTACATATTTAATAACATTTTAAAATTAACCTCTCCCACTATTTGGTTATTACGAGGTGGGTAACAATCAAATATATTTCTTAAATGCTAATCATGTTCTATTATAGAGCTCTGAATTTACTACTTATATCTCAACCCATGAGTTCTAAGAAGTTAAAATGATTTTAACTAAGAGCAACTGATAAAGAGCAATAAAGTTCTCGTCCTCAATTTGATCTTTACAGAATTCTGAGGATGTGGTTTTTTATTTGCAATCAGTATCTCAGAAAATGGTGTGTATCTTTAGCTATTGATAGACATGTTTTGTTTTATTTTATTTTATTTTATTTATTTATTTGTTCCTCAAGAAAAGTTGAGATTGGTGGGGAGGAGAGGGAAGACATAAAATAAGATGAAGAGGCAATGTGAAAGCCATAGAAAGGGGACTTTTCTGAGAAGTTCTGATGGGTGTCAGAGCAATTTGCCATGGAGAAAAAGTAGAACCACCTTGACCTTCTAAATGACTTAGTGAATCTTCCTTGGCTGCGGTGGGAATCTATGTGGATCATAACATTCTTTTAATTCTGATAATACATATTTTAGCCACACTAATAATCCCCATTGTACTATCATTTTCAGAAATTGGAATCTCCCAGGTGATAACCATAACTAGTTTCTTACCTATACTAATAAAAGAGTAATAGCAAATTGGTCACAGCGCCCTCACAATAACGACCATATAGCAGGCTGATTGGGGCAACCAGGCCGGCAGGAGGATTAGAAAGAGTCGGCCAGGCCAGCAGAGGCTAGGCTGGCAGGTGGGGGGAGGGGGCAGTTGGGTGCAACCAGGCTGGTGGGGGGAGCAGTAAGGGGCGACCAGGCCAGCAGAAAAGGGCAGTTGGAGTTGAACAGGCTAGCAGTGGGGGAGCACTAAGGGGCAACCAGGCTGGCGGGAGGGAGCAGTTAGGGGCAACCAGGCTGGCAAGCAGAGGTGGTTAGGGGTTATCAGGCTGGTGGGGGGAGGGGGGTAACTAGGGGAGATTAGGTAGGCAGGCAGGCAAGTGAGCAGTTAGGAGCCAGTGGTCCCAGATAATGAGAGGGTAAGGATCGGGCCGAAACTGGCTGTATGACGTCCACCAAAGGGTCCCAGATTGGAGAGGGGGCGGGCTGGGCTGAGGGGACCTCTTCTCCCACCCCTTCCCTCCCCCCACCATGCATGAATTTCACACACCAGGCCTCTAGTAACAATATAAATCTGAGTAGTGTACCCAGTAAGTTGTTACAGAGAGCTATTATAGCACATCAGTCTATAAACCTTATAGATTGGGATTCTTTTATGTTATGCAGCCATGAGGATTTTATAGGTCACTAACTTTTATCTGAGTGTCCATGAAACCCCTTAAACTTGGCATGACTCTTACCAATAACCTACAGTCTATACTTTTTTCTCTCTCAAACATTAACAAGCTGGCATTTCTTACCCTACTTTCACCTAATCTCTGGTGGAGTGTGTTTGTCTTACCCACTCCTTTCCTGGGGTAGACAACAATATATTCCAACATCTCTTGATTATTTCTCTATTACTCTTTCCTCTTAAATATTGATGTTTCCTACTATTGAGATTTTCCATTGCTTACAAATGGTCGAATCATCTTAAGTGATTCAGCTAAAACTAGCATTATTGACTTGCATCTATGTCTGCAAACTTGTATATTCTACTGTCCATCTCTGTGTCTGAATGCTCCAAATTTAATTCATCTTCCACCAACCCTGTAACTGGCTACACTCGTTCTCCCAAATGAGAAGCTTGATTTCATCTTCAATGTTTTTCTTGATTTTTCACATCTAACTCATCACCAAATATTGGATTTACCCTGTTACCCATTCTCTGTACAAAAGCCTCAAGAACGGGTCAAGTTCTACACATAATGTGAATTCTCAACCCACCCTTTTTGAAGTTTTTCCAAGGACTCACAACATATTTTTTTTTTAAAATCTCTTTTGCAACATTGACTACTTTGAAAATCTGAATGCTTTTTACCCTCTTTCCAGGAAAGTATGCACACTGAAGTTACCAACTGATCCCACTGTTTGTGTAGTTCTCTTGAAGCCTACACAAGGACTGTGGGTTAAGTAGGGGACTTGCTCTCAATTATTATACTAGCTCCTTTTGGTACCTTTACTTCTTAGAATGTCCTCATTTGTGTCATTGAAGCTATTCATTACAGTACAGAACTTTATTTTTATTATCTATACAAAAAGTTCCTTAATGACCGCTAGCTCCAATAGCTACAAGTAGTTCTTTCTCTGTTGGATTGTAAACTTCAAAGGAGAAAATACAATTTTACACCTCATTTCCCTCAAACTGCCTCATAATCCGATATGCTATGCCTAGCTACCTGAGATGGGGGAATTATGTACTCTTAATATTCTATGTTCAGGAACAATACTTTGAGATCTCTAGGACAATTACTCTCAGCCTCTCTGTAGGGTGATACAGCGACATAGCCACACTTACAAATGCACAGACTGGATGCTTAGAGTCTTGGGGGGTGGAGATGGGGAGGGGCGGGGGCAGGGGTGGTGAGCAGAGTGCCCACCTGGCTGGTGTCTGCGCCGAAATGCACGATGCTTCAAAGAGCCGAAACTTGGGTGACCCATTCTCCACCCGCTCCTGGGGTCCCACACCTCACGCCTCACTCAGGAAAGGTGTACCCACTTTACCCACGAATTTCCAGCAACCACACAGTAACATATGGTCTCTAACGCTGACTCGAATATAGGCGCTTCCGACTCGGAACGGACGCTTAGCAACCGCTGGTTTCCTCCCGCGCCGGCCGCCTCCGAGATCCAGTTCCGGGGCAGAGGTCATCCCGCCCCGCCCGCGGTTCCTCCAAGATGGCGAGCGGCGGCGGCGCCGGGGGGGTGTCGGTGCCTGCGCTCTGGAGCGAAGTGAATCGTTACGGCCAGAATGGGGACTTCACGCGCGCTCTCAAGACCGTCAACAAGAGTAAGTGTCCGGGCGGGCGCCGGGGCGGGCCGGGCCGGCGGAAGGATGCGGTCTCCTTCCGGCGCGCGCGACCCCCTCTCTCCGAGGAGGCGCCGGGGAGGGAAGACCCCGCCGCCAGCCCCGGGCTCGAACCCCTGGCGGCCGCGGTGGGGTGGGGTCGCGGCTCCGGCTGCAGGAAACTAGCCCTGGGCTTGGGGGTGTATAGAGAGCCACGTGTACTTCCCCCTTGACACCCTTAGGGCAGCGAGGGAGGGATTTAAAGAGACCGCTGCTGCCGGCGCCCCGTCCAGACTGTCCTCTCCTGGGACGCCTCTGTTTTCACGCCTTAACTCCGCACATAGTCCCCGCTACCCTCTCCTCTGCCGTTTTACTGTGATCGGGACGGTGCTATGGCTGAGGGAGCTGTTCCCCTGGGCCTCCTCCGCGGGGGGAGGGACCCGCCTGGGACACGTCATGTGGAAGCTGGCGCTGACGAGGGGGAAGCTGCAGGGGCCGGAGGGAAGGAAGGGCTGAGACCTACCCCAGGCCTGTACCCCCACAGGGAGAATCTCCCCCGAGAGATGAGACCAGAAAATGTGTCTGGGAAAGCACTGACATTGGAAATCACGTCGGAAGAAAAAAAAAAATAGCCTTTTTTTTTTTTTGATCCCATAACAGAATTTCCGATAAACTGCCTTCAGTATGAAGTCTATTCGTTATGTTCTTTTATCCTTTGTTACTTAACTGTAATAGAGCTATGCTTTAAAAAAAAAAAATCTTCATTCAGATTATTACAATTATTTCTCCTTCCCCCCAGCCCCCAAAAGCTCCCCTCCACCTGGTCCCCACTCCACCCTCTTCCCTTATTTTCTCTCCCCCCCCCCCCCATCTATAGATATATGATTTTTGTCCAGTCTCTTCCCATACCCCCTCACAGATACCTCTTTCCCCCTGAGAATAGGCCTATGCTTTTTAATGCTCTCTGTCGTGCTGAATTCGTTATTGAAGATGCCGCCTATATTTGGTAGATTTGGAAATGAAATGAACTGGACAGAGTTTGCTATTTAAAGCGGTAATGACATACAAGGTATGTAAGTACAATACAAGGCTGTATAAGTAATTTTCGCCAACCTGTTGGTTTAATGTGAAAAGAAGCGATTGTGCTCATAATAGTTTTTGGTGATTTCAGATATTGAGGAAAACAGATGCCAATTAGAACGATTGGATCCCTAAACTTGTTTTGAATTAGGGCTAGCTTTTGGCTAGGCCTGCAGCCAATACTGCTCAGTCACAATGTAGTAAGTTATAGGAACTTTCTAACTAGCAGCTCTCAGTTTGTTATCCAGTACAGTATATATTTTCTTCGACGGCAGAAGGCTGTGACTCTTAGAATTGGGTTCTTGTAGTTGCCCAGACGCAAGGAGAGTGGTCCTAGTCATTTTGACACTGAACAGGTGTTTAGGATTGAAACGTGGCTACCTGAATTGTCTTTGTACTTCTCTTTGGTCATTTTAGGTGAAAAGGGGAATTCTGAATGTTTCTTTGAAACTATTGCCAGTAAGATAAATTGCACTTGTACTTGACAGCCTATAAATATTGCCAAAATGTTCTCACTTCATCTTCTTGATAACCTTGTAAAATAGATAATGTTTTCATACTCGTCTTGCAGATCACAAGATTAAGATTTGTAGTTAGGTGATTTTCCCAAGACCTCAAGGCATCTCGTGACAATCTTGTACTAAAACTAAATTTGTTTCCAAATTCTACACGAACTTTCTTCTTTCCCTGTAAAGTAATGAAATATGTAGCATGCATCCCAAGATGAAAAAATTGTACAAAACAGCTTTTATCATGCTTCTTTGGAACTCTCCTTTTATCACTTCTTAAGTTAAAAATGAAGATCCCTCTTTAAAAAAAAAAAATGTTAGACAAACCATTTTTGCTGCAATACATTTGGAAATGTAATTTCCTGAGGTAGGGAGTGGGGAAATATAGTAAAAATGTGAAAAGGGAATAAATTAAAAAATTTTCTAAATTGTTTTGCAGTACTGCAGATCAACAAGGATGATGTAACTGCCCTACACTGTAAAGTGGTATGCCTTATCCAGAATGGAAGCTTTAAGGAAGCCTTGAACATCATCAATTCTCACACCAAAGTGTTAGCCAAGTAAGTGATTCAGTTGGTTGGTTTTACCATAGCTACATTCATTTATTTATTCTTTTTTTTTTAATTTATTTTTATTGATTTTTTTACAGAGAGGAAGAGAGAGGGATAGAAAATTAGAAACATCGATGAGAGAGAATCATCTATCAGCTGCCTCTTGCACCCCCTCCTCACCCCCACTGGGGATGTGCCTGCAACCAAGATACATGCCCTTGACTGGAATCGAACCTGGGACCTTTCAGTCTGCAGGCTGACGCTCTATCCACTGAGCCAAACTAGGTTTGGCCATTTATTTCACCACTATTCAGTGATTTTTTTCTTTTCTTTACTTGTTTCTTTTTTTCTGTTAATTCCCATTCGTGTCTTTGAAA